ATATTTATATGTTTTTTTCTTTAATGTTTGTTAGTTAACATTTTTGTAATTTTGTTTTATCCATTTTTATTAGTTTTTAGGGACTTCTTTATATGTCTATTTAGATTTTTATTTTAGTTTTAGTAGTTTTAGTACTTCAATAGACTTATCTCAGGTAGTTGCCAAAGTGACGTATTTTTAATTTTTTAAGTTTTTCACTTATTATTTATATTTATTTTATTTCAGCTCTATTTCAATTAATAACACATTATGTTTTTGTTATTTTTATTGGTTTTTATTATTTTTTTTAAATGTCTGCATAGTTTTTATTAATAATATTTATTTTTAATATTAGTTATTTTTGTTTAAACTAAACAAAAATTAGAAATGTTGTCTTGGCAACTAGCTGAAATAAAATTAGTTTTTTTTTGTGCTTTTCATTCCAAGTATCAATTTTTTTTTTTTTTTATGGTTTTAGTTTTAGTTAAATAATAGCCCTGGGCAAATTATTCAGATTTAATAAATTTTTTATTTTACAATTATTTCTAATTTAGCAAATATGTCGAATAAATCGTTTTTCTCTGCAAACAATTTTTTTTTGCAGTGTTTCATGTTAATTTGGTTCATTTAATTCGTTTTTCTTTATTTGTGAAAACTATTATAATATGATTACAGAATCAACTTACTAAAGCATACATCTATTTATTTTATAGATTTATTTTTAATCAAGTTCAAATTGTTTTTCTTTTTACAATTATTTCTAATTTAGTAAATACGTGAAATAAATCTAAATTTCATTGCAGTTTATGTCCTTTTTGTTCATGTTTTAACTATTTGTGGAAAACACTATGATTATAGAATCAATAGGTTACAAAAGCATAAATCTGTTTATTTTACAGATTATTAATTGATCAAATGCAAATTATTTATTCATTTTACAATGAATTATTTCTAATTATTTTATCTTATTTTTCCACAAATAAAGAAACAGTTAAACATTAAAGGGTTGGTTAGAATTTTCATTTTTGGGTGAACTATCCCTTTAATAAAAACTGCAATGAAATTGATTTATTTTACATATTTGCTAAATTAGAAAAAAATGAACTTGATAAAAAAAATAAACTGTAAATAAAAAAACAGATTCATGCTTCAGTAACTTCTTGATTCTGTGTTTTCTTATAAAATGACTACATAATCCAGAAGTTACTGCAGCATAAATCTGTTTATTTTCAGAGATTTATGTTTTTAGAGATGCAGATGAAGCGTTACGCATGAAAGGGAACATAAATATGAAATGGAAAGAGTCCCGACTGAAAACAACAAAATAACAAATTAAAAATAAAAAATTTAATAAAAATAAATAGATTTATTTGAATGTATATATATATATATATATATATATATATATATATATATATATATAATTTATTA